ACAATGAAACATTCCGACAACTCCTGCGACGCCACTGGTGCCAAGCTGTATCATCCATTGATGTTCCCTTGGGTTATCCAGCGGCGTGGAGAGAGGCAATTTGCTGTTGGGAACCAGCTTATAATCCTTGAAGAATAATCCCAGGCCATGTGGATATCGTCCTCCGAAGCCCACTCCATCGTCACATTGTGACGGACGCATGCCAGGAAATTGTTGTGTATGTCATGTCAGATATTTTACAAACGATGTCAGCTTTTCTTGTGCAACTCGTTGCTTAGCTACACTTCTTACTGAACACAATGACTTCCTATGTTTAATACTGTTTTCTCCCTTTTTTACAAATATATTTTAAAATGGAAAAAAAAAATTTGAAAATTCTGAAATAGCGTAAGTGCTACCAATCATTGCGTCTTTTTGGGGGAGGTGACTTTTAAAGACGCCTGCTAAAGTCTGACACAATCCCCGCGTAGTGCGTCACAAAATCCGGGGTACTGACATGAATGTTCCCCCCTTGTATCCGCCCACTTCCATTAACTAATTTGCCGGAAGTGGTTTCTTTGGTACCACTTTGATTGGTTAATTAAAGTCAAAATGTCCAAACAGATTTGTCAACAAAGAATTGGTTAGGATTTTAAACTAATGTTTTGGCAGATAACAACAAAAACAACAGAGCCTCAATTTTAAATATAACATCTTCTCTGTACACGACTTCAAGATGGAAACGTTAAGGGGGTTGGCCTCTTGTATCAGTGAATTCTAAACCATTATATGTACACCATGTATTTGTGCACTGTGTACTTGTACACCCTGTATATGTAAAATCCAGTATGAGTACTTCCCTAATCTGTATGTATGTATGTATTCATCCGAACAAAAGTATGTACACTTACAACAAGAAAGTGTACATTCTGTACACACATGTCAAGTATGAATTATTGAAATGATTGGGTTATTTTCATAAGGAGCGTACTCAAAAATATGTTGATAATCACTTCAATGATGTTATCAGGGTCGTCATTTTGGGTGGGGTGGAGTGGGGCATTTGCCGCCTCCCACCAGTGAGTTTCCAGTTGTTCTTAAAGTTCAAGGACTCTGTACTGGGGCAGTCAAAAAAACTCAACAAACTGGGAAAGTTTTGGTCGCCCCCCCCACCCCCCCCCCCTGCCGACCAACCACTTTGTTTTTTGAAAAAACCTGAAAAGACATCCGTGGATGTATAGCGAAACTCCCAATCAAGTATGTGTACACTAATGTTCCCCGTACATGATCAGTAATGTCCCCAATACGTGTACAGTGATGTCCCCATACGTGTATATTGATGCCATCTTATATGTACTTCAGTTAATGTCCTCATACGTGTACAGTAATGTCCCTATACGTGTACAGTGATGTCCCCCATGCGAGTACAGTAATGTCCCCCAATACGAGTACAGTAATATCCCCCCATACGAGTCCAGTAATTTACCCATATTTGTACAATAATGTCCTCATACATGTACAGTGATGTCCCCAGGTGTGTAAAGTACTGCCCCCATACGTGTACATTGATGCCCTCATATGTGTATTACAGTAATTTCCTCATACGTGTACAGTAATGTCCTCATTAGTGTACAGTTATGTCGCGATACGTGTACATTGATGCCATCATATGTTTACTACAATAATGTCCCCATACGTGTACAATAATGCCCCCATACGTGTACAGTACTGTTGCCGCACATATACGGTGATGTCCCCCACATGTGTACAGTAATGTCCCTATACGTGATCAGTAATGTCCCCCATGCGTGTACAGTCCTGTCCCCGTACATATACGGTAATGCCCCCACATGTGTACAGTAATGTCCCTATACGTGATCAGTAATGTCCCCCATACGTGTACAGTCCTGTCCCCGTACATATACGGTAATGCCCCCCACATGTGTACAGTCCTGTCCCCGTACAGATACGGTAATGTCCCCCACATGTGTACAGTAATTTCCCTATACGTGATCAGTAATGTCCCCCATACGTGTACAGTCCTGTCCCCGTACATATACGGTAATGCCCCCCACATGTGTACAGTCCTGTCCCCGTACATATATGGTAATGTCCCCCACATGTGTACAGTAATGTCCCTATACGTGATCAGTAATGTCCCCCATACGTGTACAGTCATGTCCCCGTACATATACGGTAATGCGCCCCACATGTGTACAGTCCTGTCCCCGTACAGATACGGTAATGTCCCCCACATGTGTACAGTAATGTCCCTATACGTGATCAGTAATGTCCCCCATACGTGTACAGTCCTGTCCCCGTACATATACGGTAATGCCCCCCACATGTGTACAGTCCTGTCCCCGTACATATACGGTAATGCCCCCACATGTGTACAGTAATGTCCCTATACGTGATCAGTAATGTCCCCCATGCGTGTATAGTAGAGACTGACCGAAAGTGATTTTCTGATTCGGCCGAAATAAATAGCTGGCAAGTTTAATCCATGTGTTAATATTTAGCTTAGTACCAACTCATTAGTCTTTCCGTGCTGGTGACGTAATAATTTCGTTTTGTGACCAACCCATGAAGCATGCACATGTGGGTTACTTTGTCAATAACTATGTTCATGAGCATGATGAATTTCTTTGTTGCCTTAATGTTTATTTTTTTAAAAATAAAACAAAATTAATAATGGAGATATTGCAATTCCCTAGGATTATTCAGTAATACTAACTTTTGATTATGATAACACTGATGAGCATGATAATAATAAATCAAAATGAATGTCACAAAATAAATGAAGGAATTAGATATACCTAGGGTTCCAAATTTTATTTTTGAAAAAAATTAAAACAAAAATAATTCTATAAATAATTACGATCCCATTAGTTTTTTTCTTCAACAAAACTGTTTACATTTGTCTAGGCCTAGTAGAAATTTAATTTTTCGGAAATAAAGGAAAAGTAGGTCATCATGCAGCTGTGGGCAGTTTTCGCAGAGTATTGGTCATGTAACATTCGATGACAGCAAGACGTGGAGCAATTATTAATATCGGATTGCTGGCTTAGAGACAGACAGTCTGAATTCTGGCAGATGACCGAAAATCATAATCACTTTCAGCCAGATGGCCGAAAGATACATTTTATGTTTCGTCCGAAACCGAAACTAAACCGAAAGTTGACTATCCTGTTTCGGCACAAACCGAAACCAGGCCGAAAGTGATCGAATGGTAACTTTCGGCGCCGAAACCGAAGTAAAAATTCGGTCGGTCTCTAGTGTACAGTAATGTTCCCCATACATGAACATTAACGTCCCCATACATGTACATTAACGTCCCCATACATGTACATTAACGTCCCCATACATGTACATTAACTTCCCCATACATGTACATTAACGTCCCCATACAGTATTGTCCGATACGTCGTCGGGACCAATTTTTTTTACTTCTTCTTCGTCATTTCGGTGTTGGCCAACGGAGTGGCCAGGGAAGATTGAGTATTGTGAATCAATTGTGATGATGTACTGCACGTCTTGGAGGAAACCCGTGCTATAATGTTCAACAAAGAACGCGGTGGGGTTACCAAAGATCGTCGCGTGACGTGATCTGCTTGCCTGCCATTGGCAGGAAACGCGAATGGATACAAGATGGCGGCGTATACATGCGCGTATCATCTTGCGGTAAGGATTCCTCTGACCGAAGTCATCGCACGGGAAAATTCGGTTGAAATCGTGGCAATTTGCGGTAATTTACGATGTCACCAGATCTCTTTCATGTGTCTGGACATCCTATTGTGTCTGTGGATCGCCGCTGGCGGAATGGCTAATGCTCCCCGGGGGGGGGGAGGGGGGAATTTTGCCCCGT